GGTGACTAAGTGCTTGTAGAGCCATCTGTATGTAAATTAAATTAACCCATTGCCGCTGGGGAAAATGAACAAAAAATGGGGAAAATGCTGTACTCATTTTTTATATTTTTGTGAAATATCTTTGCACATAGATGCTATGCTAGTCCTGATTTCTTGAATTGGCGGGAAAAAACGTATTCTTTCCAATGCTATAAATATAGATGGTGTTATTTTTAACAGCAAATTAGGATAACGTTAAATATTTTCGTAAATCGATGAAAAGGGTGAATGGGGTAGTCAGGCAGTATTCGTAATTGGCTCATTGGTGACTTAGTACAAGTGTAGCCATCTGTGTGTAAAAACAATCAAACAAGTCGACTCATAGTGGGCATGGCATGTACGTACATGACATCCCCGGCGGCAATGGGTTTAGAAACAGAACTCACAGTGGGCATGACATTTATGTACATGTCATCCCTCGCACCATTTTTGTTAAATTTGTCAAATTGTTTTCACATGTTCTGTTTGATTTCATGAGTGAATTTCTTCATAAGCAAAACCTTAAACAATTTTAGTTTTATTCAAGATAAGGATTTGTTGATTTTGTTGAATTACAGAAATGCCTGTGCACACACAAACCCACACAGACATGCACACCTGTCTGTCTGTTTGAGTATGTATGTGTTTGTTTCCCAGCCTGCCAGCCAGCCTGCCTGCTTGTTCAAGTGGCTTGTCTGCATACATTTATGTGTGATGTATAGAAAAGTTTTTTTTTTCTCCCTAAGGCACAATGGTGACCATTGAAGGCCCCAGATTCAGCAGTAAAGCAGAGAGCAAAATGTTCCGCCAGTGGGGTGGTGATGTTATCAATATGACAACAGTTCCTGAGGTACAGTATCCTCCTCATTCTTGTCTGCTTTCTTCAATATTTTTTAAGGCTTAGTTTTTTGTTACATTATAATGTGTCATTCATTGTTGCTGCTTATAAAATTAATTATATGGCTTCAGCATTACTGCTAAAATACATATATGTCATTTTGTATTATAAAATCTGGACCAGACTACATAATCATACTGATACTGAAAACAGTTTTAATGTACATATGTGGTCACTTTCTTGACTTAATTGTCCAACAGGTTGTGCTTGCTAGGGAGCTTGGCTTGCTTTATGCTGCAGTTGCAATGGCCACTGACTATGACTGCTGGAGAGAGGGTGAGGAGGTGGTCAGTGTGGAGAAAGTCCTCAAAACTTTCAAGTTAGTATAATTTTGTCTTTATACATAGCTCATGTTTATGATTCTGAACTTTTTTTGTGATTTCCATGGAGTATGTAGCATTGGCCATAAAAATATTGATTGTAGTTTTTTAAAGATAAAGTATTTCTGGGTTTTGCTAGATTCTCATCTTTTAACCCAGATCTATGTTCTGTCCCCTGTGTTTTTTTTTTTTTTTTTAATCCACATGTGCTCGGCTAGCAAAGAGTATCAGTAGGCCCTAGTGACCGATCCTGATTTCCCCATTCCTTGAATTGGCAGGAAAATGCGTTTTTATTTTTAATACAATTGATATCGATACTGTTATTACTGTTATTGATGTTATGATTATTAAGTTGTTATTAAAATCTTGGTAACATTTAAGACAATGAAATAATTCAAAAGACCCTTTCCAAAAGTTGAGGAAAAGAGTATTAACTGACTCCTTGGTGACTAAGCACTTGTAGAGCCATCTATGAGTAAAAACGATAAATAAACTTGTATTACAGTGGGCATGACATGTCATACGTGCCGATTGGGTTAAGCTACTGATACTGAGTATTACATATGCTGTCCACTGTGACTGTTTTTTATTAGTTTTGTTTTCTCATTAATGGCTTCACAAATGCTTAGTCATCAAAGGGTAATTAGGTATACCTGATCTCACCTGTTGGCCCAGTTCTTTGAATTTTTGGATTTTTTTTTTCATATATTATTATCAATATTTTATTATTATTGTTAGTACCAGTATTGTTAGTATATTTTTTAATGGAAACAGTAGTAATTAAAATAAATTCTTAAATATTCAAGGTATAAGGTCATTTATGCCTAATATATAACTCCTTAGAGTCTGTAGTACTTCAGGAGCCATCAGTATGTAAATAAAATTAATAAAGCAGAACAGTATTCTACAGTATTAGCAGATAAATCAAGCTAGTATTTTTAGAAGGACTTTACTGACCAATAATTAGAGGCACTTAGTTATGTTATATTCTCAAGAATTAATTTTGTGGGAAGGGCCCAGTCAGTGTGGCTTAACATGGTTGATTTTTTGTTTGATTAATAGGCTTGAAGTGAAGGATATGGATGTTTAATCATGATGTTGAAATTTGCATTTAACTAAATATTTTACTCCTTCAGAATGAATGCTGAAAAGGCAACCAAGGTTCTGAAGACCGTAGTTTCCAAAATTGCAGCCAATGACTGGACAGAGAAAATTTCAACAACAACAGTAAGGATCTTCCCAAATCTTTTTATTTCATGAATAAGCTTTGATGCCATTACTGTGTTTTGTTTTTTCTTTCTTTCTTTTCTATTTTAGATAAGGAGTCATGCACTTTTGAACCGTTTGATTTACTATTTTCCAGAGTGCCGTGAAGAGCAACATAATGCTTGCACAGTGAATTATAACAAGGAGAGAAGAGAATTGTCACAGCTACAAATTCCTTGACCATATGTATGACAGAAGTTCCTGACTTGAAACTATCAGAGACATTGAGAAACACATCAAAGTATTATTTTTTTTACTGAGTTAAGGATGGAAAGTAATATAAGTGGTCAAAGAACAATATTTGGAGAATGAGTAATGCACCCTCATCCCCAGCATCACTTTGCAGTTTTGCAGTGCTTTATCAGTAGAGCATGCTGAGTAATACAGGTGTGATTTGCTATGCTATTCTAAAATAACCATAAATTTATATTAATAGAAAATGAAACAATTATAGCATATCCATAGACACACATGTATGCACATCTGATTTGTTGAAGATATATTAAATTTGAAGTATATTTTTAGAATATTTTTAAATGGAAATTATAGACCAGTATTTTTTTATAGAATTTTGTTACATTACAATGTTGATAATTTGTTTTTAGTTTAATTATAATGTATATCTTAATAGATTATGCTGCCTAGAACTGCATGCTCTGATTGTTATATTGACTAGTAAAAAATCCTGTAAATATTGGTACAACTTTTTTTGACCTGGTAGAAAATTATAATGCATAAAAAAGTCCATTAACAATAATGATTTAAATCCATATTAATTCTAAATTTTACTAAAAATACCTTCCTTCGTACTTTAACATGACATGTAAGTGCAAATTTGTTATCAGTAGCATTATCTACAGAGGTAAACTCATGATTTGAAAGTAATTGCATTAGTATTAAAAGCTACATGAATTTTATACATTTACTTGCTTTAATCTGCATTGCATAGTGAAATGATAAATCACATCCTGTTCCATTTTCCTAAACATAAAGAGTCCACTTTGGTGTTAATTGCACGTATTCTTGATAAGACAACATAATCATCATAGCTTGTGTATTTTTGTACAAGGCATGTATCATTTGGTTTGATTAGCATGTTGAGTGTTGTTACTGTTATCTTCCCCTTCAACTTTAACTCTTGTGTAGGTTAAACATTTCTCAAAATGGGGGGAAAAATGCCTTCAGTCTTATCACAGTTAGTTTATATACAGTGGCCTTATGCTGGTTATATTTTGCTACATAGTATACATTCCTTTCAGAAATTTATCTTAAATAAATTATGTTAAATTTATATTTTTTATAAAGTGTTATATATATACTGAGTTGTGAAAGTTATAGCTAAATCTTCCTGTATACAAAATTTGTAACAGTTAACCAGCAGATAATATTTGCTTGAAATCATGTGCCTTAGTATTACATATTGATGAAAGTGTTGTTTAGTTATGTGTGAAAATTGCCATAAGCATGATAGGGATATTTTTAATGTAAAATTTGATATCCTTGTGTGTGAAAGTTACTCAGATCGCCATTGTGATATGTTTGCATACAATTTGAGGTCTAACTTACAATTAATATGGTTCTGCATTTGTGCTTTCATTTACTATTTCTATATTCTTTTACCACAACAGAAATAGAACCTTTAAATTCTTATTTTACTATATCCTTGATTTAAAATATTGTATTATAAACAATCTGCTGCTCAAATTTCCTACATTAAATTCATAGTAAATCTAACTGATACCATTTTACCTTTGGCAGTGTCAAAAAAGTGTCCTCACCCTTACAGATTACCTGCCAAGAACAAAATCAAAGCAGAAATAAGTCAAAGTACAAACTTGTATGATTTGACCTATTCAAGTTTCTTTAGAGCCCATCCTAGCTTTGTTTATCAAGGCTATTCTAGGAATTTTAGCTACACTACAACTGAAGAGAATAACAGTGAATTCGGCAAAGTATAATGTCTATGGCAATCACAAAAACTATCTGAACAAAGATTTGCTTCCTTGTAAGTGTCATTGCCTGGAGAGGATAGGAATGGCCCAAGCTTTAGATTTGTTAGTACAGTTAGTGATTCTGACACTGATAGAATGATGAAGAGATTTCAAGAACTAGCTAGCTTTATAAAACAGCCAGAGAAGGGCATCATAGATGAAGTAAATAGGATGATAAAAAAACAAGGGTATAAGCTTTCTGATTGACTGTTAATTAGGACTATTTTTTTTATTGTATTCCCAGTTATCAGATCTGTTATAAATAAGCCATTTGTGTAGTATATGATATTACATTTATTGCTTTCAGTTTAAGCCACAATTTCATCAATATTCTACTTATCTCATTCCCATACACCATTTAACTAAATAAGTTTTTCAATTGTAAGGAAATTTGATGCCAACTTTAAAGTAAGTATTCACAACATAGGTTGAAAACAAATGACAATTTATTCTTAAATTTAACTGAAATTATAATTATCACAAAATGAAATAATCTCCTTATAATCA